GCGGATTGAACTTGTTGAACAAGAGTTTAAATGGTATTGGTGCTATTTGTTCTTTTGGTGTTGCTGCTGCTGCTACTATTTGCATCATATTCATTGGGAATCACCAAAAACATAAGCAGAATCAGAAGATTAGGTTCCAAATCTTTACTGATGACAAGGTTTGACATATTTTTCAAGTAAATATTTTCTAATCGTTTAAGCTTTTAGATAAGTTCGCGTGTCTTAAAGTTGTTTTAGAGTAAACAGAGGTCCTGAACCTAAATAGATGTCTTGATAGACTTGAATTTTAGACCTCCGACTATGATAGGAATCAAACCTTTTATTCTATTTAGTTAGTCCACCTAGCATAGGATGAGATTCTCGATTGATTTGATTGAATTTTATTCTATCGAGAACCATAATATGTTTGATAGACTTTAGACTCAATCTAATAGTCTACTTATCTTAACCTTGATCTCGAAGAAGGATTTAGGTTAGGAATGGGCTTCCACACATCTCCTAACCCCAACCCTCGCCTCGAAAAATCACTCACAAATACGATTTTGCTTAAGAAAGATTTAGGTAAGGAATGAGCTTCCACACATCTCCTAACCCCAACCCTCACCTTTGAAAAACCACTCACAAATACGATTTTGCATTCTATTTGTGATCGATCTATAAAAGAGAATCAGGTCTAAACTTTTTTATCATTTCCTTACTCTTTTACTTCTTTTTTAAAACTAATATTTGGTAGATAAAAAAACAAGTTCTCTACTCTCACGATCCCCAAGAGGAAAGTATTGATTTCTTTTGCTAATCAGGTGTTATTATCATATTATAATGATATGTTCCAGTACTAGGTATGTTATTGTTGTCGATTTTTTTTTTGGGATTAATACAGAGGATCAAGCGTGTAGTTCAACATGCAACAAGATTGAATGAAGCAATTTCAGCAGTGAGAGGAGTTCCAGTTACAAGAGCACAAATTACTGTTGGAGGCTACTATGATGCTCTTTAAATGTTCGGTCCACGGATCGTAAACTTCTTTTTTTCAGAGAAGAAGCAACGACGGTATCTATCTGAAGAATAAGTGTTGGTTAACTTTGTGCTATCAGACTATAGTACATAAATATAGGATTTTTATTATCATGTTGTAGATATATAATTCCAAGATTCTACAGAGCTTTTAGTGAAGTCTTCTATTATGAAAAAAAAAATGGTGTATGGTTAAGATAAATGCAATATTATTCCATGAGTTGTTAAATTTTGTGGTGAATTTCATGTGTGTTTTTTTTTGCACTTTGCATATGGATACTGAGAAAACCAATATTAAGGATAAACTAGTTTAATTTAAGATGTTTCAAACAAGTTGGGTAGATATTTTGTTTTTATTAGTAATTTAGTATAAGTAAAGAAAGGTACTGATTGAACTAATCAAACAAATTCAGTATAAAAAATGATATTTATTTGAATAGTGACTTGTGACCTACCTATTAAATTATTGTAGGAAAATAATTTAGCTTGATCAAAGCTCCCCCAAGTCACTTTAATATTTAATTATATTCAATGTTTATAAGCAACAACTTATGTAACTTAAAACTTTAGAAATTAACTGTGAGATTCAAAACACTAAGATATGATGTAATACCACAAAATAAATTAATTAGGAATATAATAATGCTGTTATAACACAAGTTGAACACGTCACTCAATTCGTGGTAATTAATACGTATAATCCTCAATTATCTTTTAAGTTAATTATACTAAACTAGATTAGCTAATAAAAGGCAATTGGAGGCATCAGTTTTAAAAAGCTCGAATTTTGGATCATCAAGAGTTTGATCAGTCCAAATAATAATAATTCATCATCTGCCTCAAAATATATATATATCAAGTCATTAAATATTTAATCGCACTCGATATTTATATAAATATAGCTTTAATTAGCTTTTAGTCCAGATAAAGGCAAAAATATACTCGATAATTAAATCGAATTAAAGTAAAACTAAAACTTAGTTCCTTAAGAATTATAGAAATTGAAAGGCATCAGTTTTAAAAAGCTCGAATTTTGGATCATCAAAGTTTAATCAGCCGAAATAATAATAAATCATCATCTGCCTCATCAAATCAAATCAAAACATTAATGTAAACTTAAACAAATATAATAAAGATCAAATCTTTAAATTAATTGAATGTTTGAAAGAACCTATAGAAAAGGAACAGATGAGAGGAAAGAAACAATTCAAACCTCTCAAACGTTAATTCATTGAAGAACAAATCTTGAAACTTTTCAGCTCGAAGATTTAATTCTCAAAATATTACTATATGCCCCTGTCTGAACCTAATGAATTTATCAACAACTCATTTGGGAATTCTTGAGGCAAAAATTAAAATTTGGTACAGACACAGAGATAAAACTATCAAACAATTAGATAAACCTTTAAAAAGATCCAAAGATTGAATCTTTAAGTCAAGAATTAATAACTAAAAATAAATTCTAATACCCTTTTGGATTATAAAAAGACCATCAATTTTTTTTTGAAGATTTGAAGAAGGGGGTGTCCAAAAGATGCTTGAAGGACAATTGATGAAGAAGAACAAGAAAGAGTTCTTTCAAAAGGCCTAAATTGAAAGCATCAAAAGATTTAGTTTCAGCCTCCTAACTAAGCCAAAATATGAAACTAAAATTTGTCCATATGGCTACTCAAAGAGGCAATTAATAAAAATAATTAGTGCATAAATTGCTACAAATTACATATGAAAAAGAAGAAGACTGAAAAGTACTATGATATTGTTGCTGCTGAATTATGAGTACAATATGATGATTTTATGGAGAGGTTTTAGGGTTTCATAGACAAAAATCTAATAATTGGGTTGGCCCAACGATATTATCTACATGGACTGAATTCTGAGCCCAATAGAGGAATATGAAAAGATGGATATGTTAGTGCATATTTGGACATCACTATTTAACATGTAAACATTTTTGGAAATATTAGAGAAATATACGTTTTATGTTTTTCTTATTTTTAATAGAGTAACTTTCACATGTAACAAATATAAAAATCGTATTTGTATATTATAGCTATAGTTTGCATAATTGCGTTCAATAGCAAATTTAATGTTTGCGATGGAACTTTTAATTTGTATTATTCGCTAGAAACATCTAATTTTATACAAATTGTTCAGTTTCGTATAAATTTATTTATACATTGTAATTGGTATAGTAAGATCTATTTTTGTATAATTATAAGTGTATACGACGAAAATATATGTATTTACATTTATATATACACTTTTATCTAATTTTATACAAACACAAACACAGTTTATATATTTTGTATCAGAATTTATAAAATGATTAATTGTATGCCGAATCAGATGGCAAAGAAATGGGCTATAACATTCAATTTTAATTAATAGTTTGCTATTTCATACAATTTTTCCTTTTCAATAAAAGTAAATTATGTATGCAATGTATATGTATTATAATTGTTTTTTAAAAATCTATTATTTTTGTTTGGTAAGAAATTGCCAAATTATATTACAAGTATATTAGAATGTGTGACAAATGTATTATCCATCAATAAAATTTGCATTATATGTGAATAATAAATTGTTCTTTGTAATATGTATTAAAACTGTATTATAATGTATTAAAAGTGATCAAGTGAAAAAGAAAATGTTATTGCTATAAATGGTAAATATCTTTTTAATACGTAAGTTTCCCTTCTAAAACTTCTTATTCATTTAATGTATCCAAACTACATATTATGTATCTGGTTTATTTTATAATGCATCCGAGCTAATTTTTAATGCATATGAACTACATATTATGTATCCGAGCTAGTTTTTAATGTATCTGAGGTACATATTGTATACGACTTATGTTATAATATATCAGAGACTATATATTATATATCCTATTTGTGTTACTTTTAAGGAATTAATGTAATTAGGAACTTAGTTTTTTTTATAAACTTTTGCAAGTTTGTTTATATTTAGACTAGTTTAGATATGTTGATGTTTGAAGTTAGGCTCGATAAAAATGTAAGCTCAAGCATAAAAATATTTAAAAGTTACCTATAATTGAAGTTCACGTAAAATGATTGAACTTTAGTCATATATGGATGAAATCCATGTAAAATTATATGAACTTTAGCCAAAAAGATTGAAATGTTAGACATACAAAATTTCAAACACCGCATGTGAAATGAGTATGGACTTGAGGGTGTGTTTGCACTATGAACATCGCTTGAATACCTATTTCGAAATCGGATATCTATGTATTTGACTTTTTAATTATGTAGGCGTGTTTGATATGATTTTTTTAATTCTCATATTTAATAAAATTAGAATATATTATTATTATTGAAAAATAAATTTCAACTTTGCTATCTCTTTTCCACCCTTCAACGCCTACAATACAATAATAATAACACTTCGATATATTTTGACAAGTGAAATTTAAAAAGATTAAGCTTAATGCAGTATTTTTTTTCTTTTTTAGGGTAAAGATTGATTTTTTTAAAAAAAGTCCCTAACCAAAACTAAATAGATAAAGAAAAAAAGAGGCAATCCCACATGCTTTCGAACAATTTACACTGACAAAATGTGAGGTGGAGAAGAATGCAATATCCAAATTGATTCCCAATAATAGTCCCTTTATTTTATTTTTTTTAAAAAAAGAAATATTAAATTTGTAAGCACAATGTAGAAAAACTTCTGTATGTATTTTAATTTTTTTTTTAATCACAAATTATTCGTTTCCCTTTTCTGATCAATAATTATTGTGCTTCTTGTGATATATTTATATGTATAATATAATTATCTTTTGAGCTCACAAAAAGCCTTAGAATTTGAATCATCTTCTCTTTCTTTTGTTAATATATAGTGCTGTTGCTATATAAATAACTAATATTAGTGTTAAAAAAACTAATTTAGTCCACGAAATTTCAATATTGCTTTTGTTTGATGGAAAAAGAGAAATTAAAAAATAAAAATCACATATTATAAATTCATAAGTATATGTCCAAAGTGATAATATTCCAATGAAATATAAAAATATATATATATAATAATACAATCAAATGGACCTCAAACTCCTCATCTCAATGATCTAACACACTGAGATGAAATAACCAAAAATAAATAAATCACATATAGTCTTGACTCAATAAAGTACTACACTTTATTAGTCGACGTTCACATAAGCTAGCTCAATCAGAAGAAAATTCCAAATGCAAGAGCTACAAGAGAGGCGAATATGGTTGGTACGAATAGGGTAGCATCCGAGGCTGGGGCAGGAGCAGGTGCATCCGCTGCAACTACATTTTGAATTTCGGACAAGACCATCACCACGACCATCACAACCATCAACAAAACATTCATCTTCATTGCCTCCATTGGTTCAAAATTTGAAAAAAAAATTAAACTATTTTTTGAGAGAAAAAATAGCACAATTCACGATTAAATTGTTGAAAGAAAGAAAAAAAGCAAAAATTTATAGACAAAATGATGTGTGTATAATATTACGGGCAGTGCTGCCCGAAGAGACCGTTAGTCTAACTACATTATATGCCTCAAAAAAATTTAAATTTTTTCATATGACATCAGAATAATAATTAAAAAATATTATCTTTTACATATTTCAAACATTATATATAAAATTTGTATATTTATATCTAGCAGTATATATATTTTTTCTTTATCTAATTACCATAATTATTTTTAAACAATTAACCAAATATATCAAATGGGTAAATTATTTTGAAGTACTGCCTCCGTTTCACAAAGAATGATCTACTTTGATTTAACACAGAGTTTAAGAAAATAAAAAAGACTTTTGATCATGTGGTGCTAAATTAAAGTTATGTCAAATATAAAAAATTATCCTTTAATCTTGTGGCCCTAAACATGTCACGTGAAAAGTTGTTACCAGAAAAAAAAATCATTCTTTTTAAAATAGAATAAAAAAAAAGAGATAATTCTTTTTGAAACGAAGGAATTATTAATTATTTTGAAATTTGAGGTTTATATGCTGCCCGGGAAGCTGCCCGTTAGCTGACAGGGTGGCTAATTGTGTTTGGTATGTCATACAGCTGTAGCCAACGATATATTGGCTCATTTGTGGGGTTCACTTGATATTTATTTATGGAGTAGTAATTATAAAGAAATTAAACATATGGTTTTTATTTTTATGGCTACAAAATCATACAATAAAAGGTAAAAAGACGAAATGTTTTCAAATTTATGATATAACTTTTAGTATTTTGAATATTATACTTTAATTTCTCACCATATGAGTTGTGATAAAGTCGCAATAACTTTTCATTTAATTAAAAGTCTCCGTGGAGTTGATTTATCCCTCAATATAACAATTCTGAATATAAACTTAAATTTAATCGAATTCTATTATAAACATCAAATATCAAATTAAAAATAAAAATACTAAAATTATATCTCAGAGTGTAAAATTTAAAAGTTTAAATTTTGTGAATTAAAATATTGGAGTAATTGGGTGGAGGAGAGGTGTATTGAGCTGTTTGGATCATTTTCTTTGCTGTCAAGGGCGCGTCTTTGCAAATTATGGCCAAAAGGCTAGGGGAGGTTCACTTTATTATTTGGTATATTCTTTTTATTTTCTACATGGACACTTAATAATAATATTAAATCTTACGCCGCTCATGTGACACATAAATTTTGAAAGCACATAATCATTTTGTAACACAATAAAAACGAGTTGAGATATTTAAATATGCATACTTAAAATTGAAGTATATGTTACCAGTTGAAGTCTAATTTGAAGTATTTATTTATGTAATATGCTCTCTCAGAAATGCAACCAAGAAGAAACAAGCATTGAAATATGAAAAGCAGTGGAGAATTAATGAAATGTGTACTGCTGGTGTCAAGTATTGTAAAACAAATTTGCAGATTTATCAAGAGATTTGGCAACTTAAAGATTACTAAGTATTGCTCGGACTCTTGCACCTATATCGAATCCTCCAAAAATGTGTTACATTGAAGGATCCAACACGCATGTGACATCTTTTTAGAGTCCGGGCAATCAAAATTACAACAAAAGAGAGAGATGCAGACAAACTATAGCAGCAATCTGAATTGATATGACACTGCTTAATGTCAAAGTTCTAATAAAGATGGATAAGAACTAAAGAACCAAATATGTGAAGCTGGTTTCCGATATTGTTCAGATTCTCTAAATATAATGTCATATAGAATCCTCAAATAATCATTATTTTTAAAGAATCTGATATATACCCGACGTCATTTTTGGAAAATTCAAGCAACATAACGTTAACAACACTTAAAAATAAAGAAGATGCAATAAGGAAACTACTAGAGAAGGGGGGTTATCTTTATGAATACAAATTTCATTTAAAGCATGTTTATAGATAACAAAGACAATTATATACCTTGAATACCTCAACTATGTGCTTGAGTGGAAAATTGAAGGAATAATCTCAAGAATATAACTATCAATCACAGTGGTCCTTGAAAATGACAAAATTGACATAAGAATAATTCCTAACAAGATGACTCAAAATTCATTTTGTTCAAACTCTCCTAAAATATCGCCGCACCATGTTAGATTCTCCAAATATGCCTTGTTTTTGAAGGGGACTACGACACACATCAATCAACATTTTTAAAGAATCCAACAACCACCAATTTATTCACCATTGCTAAACAAATATCACAGTATAGAAGAGGTAATCCAGCCAAATATATTGTTTTCAGTGTTTCCACATTTAAACTATTGTTATTGATTCCCAAAGGATTATAACAACCAGAACTCATGCAGCAAAAGCAACAACACAATCCTCAAATCCACCAACCAATAAAATGTTTAACCAATTGCTATATGTATATAGTAATCAACCTGGAAAAGCTTAAACTACAGCAAAATAACAAATCAGACTATCATCTACAACATACCCATTGTAATCCCACAAGTGGGGTCTGGAAAGAAAAGTGCGTACGTAAATCTTACCCCTACTTTGTTGATGTAGAGGTTGTTATTGATAGACCCTCGGTTCAAGGAAAGTATAAACACAGCAGATAACAATCAGACTATCAAAGTATTTGTTGATAGGAAAATGAAAAATATTACTATTAGGCATCAATTGGCATGTGGCTGTCAATCTTCAAGATCCAAATCAGAATCTGAGGACCAAGAAGAACAAAAATTGATACTTGGCATATGAGTATTCACAAAAAGATCCAAAATTGTAATCTTTAACCAATTAAAGCTACCAAAATCAGCCTTAAGGTTTTTTTTTTCGTATAATCAATGAAGAACTGCAACAAACTAACAATCAAATCACAAAGTTCTTATTTTTTATTGGTAACCAAAACAAACTTAGAACTATTAGTTGGCATGTTAATAAGAATCTTCAAGATCCAAATCAACCTGAACAAAGAATTGAAACTTGGTATGAGGGCATTCAAAAAAAGATCCAAAGTTCAAATCTTTAACCAATTAAAGATACCAAAATCTGCCTAAAGGCCTTTCCCCCAATATAACCAATGAAGAACTACAACAAAATAACAACCAAACCATCAATCTGAATAAAAAAAACTGAAACTTGGCATGTGGGCATTCACAAAAAGATCCAAAGTTGCAATCTTTAACCAATTATAGCTACCAAAATCAGCCTAAAGGCCTTTTTCCCCATATAACCAATGAAGAACCACAACCAAACCATCAATCTGAATCAAAAAAATTGAAACTTGGCAAGTGGGCATTCACAAAAAGATCCAAAGTCGCAATCTTTATACAAATAAAAACACCAAAATCATCCTAAAAGCCTTTTTCCCATTACAATCAACCAAGAACTACAATAAAATTAAACAATCAAACCATCCAAATTACATATTTTTGTTCTGAACAGGAAAAATACACAAAGATTGAAACTACTCTATAACTTTGACTACAAACTAGGCATCAATAGGCATGTGAGTGAGAATCTTCAAGATCCAAATCAGAATCTGAAGACAAAGAAGATGATGATGATGAAAAAGAGGGAAAAGATAGATAAGGGTTTGGTAAAGGGAAGCAAAAAAAAGTCCATAAACAAAGAGCAAATCTCCTAAATTGTTGACATGGAAAACAAAAAAGAAGATAAAGGACTTCATCACTGCTGAGTCTTTCTGGATTACAAGCTATGTATTGACACAAATCTGCAGATACATTAGCCACACCAACAATTATTGGACTACTGAACACCATTTTTTCTTTAAAAAATTGACTTTTTTTCTTGATTATTCACTTGTTATGCTGAATTTTTTTGCAAAATTTGTAGGTTTCAATGGATTGATATGAAGATGTTTCTTATGTTAGTGTTTTTTTTCTTGTTTTGGTTTGTTTGGGAATTTGCTTAGGGATAGGAAAGAGGGAGAAAAGGGAGAAAAAAACAAAATTTTAAAGAAAAATTTGTTCATGTCATTAGGAAAAAAATAAAAAAACAAGAAAGGCTAGAAATAGTAATTATTATTTTTTTCTCCTTAAATTAAAATTGTGGGTTTTAAAAAGGAAAAAAGATAAATGTCATTACTTTATTGTATTTATTTCTCTTTTAGAAAAGGATTAAAAAAATGTGAAATTAGTAATATTTAAATTTCTTGTTTTTTTTTTATACAAGTGAAATGAATAGAGTATATCTTGTTATATTTATTCACTTTTAGGTCGTTATGATTTGATGAATTTTAAAAAACACACATATTGTAGTGTCTATTTTCTAATTGGATTACATAAACAATAATATGTAATTAAACATTAAGTAATTGATGTTAATTTTTTTGACATGAATACGTAATTAATCACAATGATTGACTATGCAATAGTGGTATATGATAGACACTGAATTGGAACTTTCAAATGACAATCTTATACTTTATCAAGTTAATTATTATTCAATGCATACATAGCCATCACACAAACACAAAAATCTCTAGAACTCTTCTTCTTAAGTTTACTTTTAGAACATAAAAATATATTATTCAATAAGAAATTCAAATAATCAAGTTATGAAATAAAAGAAACAGTTGAGTATAAGAGTGTATTTGGTACGAAGGAAAAATATTTTTTGGAAAATGTTTTTCAATTTTCTCATATTTGGTTGGGACAAAAGTTTTGGAAAATATTTTTCAAATCAACTCATTTTCCTCAAAATTAATGAAAATGACTTTCCTTCAAAAATTAAGGAAAACATTTTCCAAAACTCTCCTCCAATTTTAAAATTTTATTTTTTTTACCCGATTACTGACCCTCACTCATCCACCACCGGCCAGCCCCCCCCCCCCAAAAAAATTGCTTTTTAAAAATATTTTAACTTCAAATTTTTATTTTTAAACTCCTGCCCCCCTCTCCCCGGCCAGCCCCCATCCACCCCCAACCCCCCAGAAAATTAATTT